AAGATGTTAGAGAAAACCACATACAACGGAAGTATGGAAAACGCCAAACAATAGCATCATCATTCCAATGTTTCGGCAAGAATCGTTTGATAGCAGGTAACAAGGTTGCCCTGCAAAGATGGGTAGAATACATGAGACAGTGATACCAACATACTGATATTACTTCAGTTGTAGTCACACAAGTATATCTCATCTAATAATAAATCCACATGGAAGGAACTTTAAGAAAGCTATATTCCAAGAAACATACGAAAGGGCTACGATTCCCAGAACAAAGAAATAGCAGGTTAACACAGCATTAACCAAATCTTTGGATAGGAACTTGAACAGTAAGAAAAGTGATAACAACATTGCGCTTCCAACAAACGGAAAGCGCATAGCATGTTCATTAGACATTGTTTCCTGCACAGTGCAAACAAGTATGTTTTAGTCAAATTTATTTTTGGATTGAGAAACAAAACAAGAAGGTGCTACACATGAAGGGTTTGGGTACTTACTGAAGGGGGAGTTGGCTTCACAGAACGATAACAACCCACATAAACTGTTAGGCATGCAGTCAAAATAACATTTAAGTTTGGATCTACCTTGACGACAAGCGGCGCCAACGATAAACCTGCAACCAAAATTGCATTCACATGGCTAAAGATGACTAAGGCCCTCAAACCCGTGCACAGACAAGAAGTGATGCAATATCAGTATGTTATGCATTAATTGAGTAATTGTTACAAGATCACTACTATGTCAAAAATCATGCATGCTTTAAATGGTTTCATGGTTTCTTGGTTTCAAGTTGCTTCAGAGCTAATCATCATACCGAAGTCAGAATGTTCCAATATTTGCTATTCAACCAAAAAAAAAAAAGGAAAATAACTAATTTTTTTTTTGGTTTACATCCAATCACCCCTACAAAGTGTATAAAAAGAGGGGTAACACAAACATAGAAAATGCAGAAAACTAAGGGAATAATATGAAAGTAAAACACAAGTTAACAAGTTTAACAGAGTAGAGCGAGATTTCTACTTTCTAGAAGATTTTGACATACCTAGAACTGATATTTCACATTTCCTATCAGCATAAACAGAGGGGAAAAAACCGAAAACATACCGAGAAAAAAGTGGAACATTAACATATCAGAAGAGAATTTACTAGATCAATCTCATTCCCATGCCCATTTATGGCAAATTTATGTCTCTTTTACTAAATCTGATCATGAAAAAAATTCAGAGTTAATTTCTTCACAAATTAACTAACTAGACTTAAACACAAGTTAATATATCAGAAGAGAATTTACTATATCAATCTCATTCCCATGCCCATTTATGGCAAATTTTATGTCTCTTTTACTAAATTTGATCATGAAAAAAATTCAGAGTTAATTTCTCCACAGATTAACTAGCTAGACTTAAAAATTAACACAAGTTAAGTCTATTATAAGAGATATGGGATAATCTCATTCATGCCTTACTAAAACAAGCAACTGAAATACCCCCACATCATATTGTTAACACTGCCGCTGTAAGTACACTTCCATCAGAACGAACCTCGAATAACTTTTGAGGCATTCAGTACATTATAAAACCTTAATGAATGCTCAAGAAGGAAAATGTAAAGCCAGTTCCTGCAGTCTGAAAGATACTATTGGATCACTCTTCTGCACAAATGAAAACATAAGAAACTTATGCACTTGTGCTTACTCAGCAGTAGAACTTTATGGAGGCACCCAATGAAATCATCAACATAACACATGGGCTGCATTTGAAATCTCACCCTTAGCCAATATGAAATATAAGGTTTTGTTCTAAACCTTGCCTTATCAGAGGGAGAGTTAGAAAACGGTTTCACACTTTCATCATTCGTGAGGAGAAACAAGTAATGGATAATCATGCAGGAAACATATTCAAGAAACTCATGGATGGAGATGATCACATTCATTCAATATGCATTAAGCTTTGAGGAATTGAAAGGAAAGTAATACATTTGAATGTGCGTGTGGGGCAGCACAAAGGTAAGCCAAGTATCTAGATATTCTTAGATAAGGAAACCAAACCTGCTAAGGCAAAATTTGCGATCCTCTCACAGTTCTTCATTATTATATATTCCAGACAAACACTCCGCAGCAATTGCAGTGCCTGAGTAGCGGCCAAGTTGAAGTGAGATCCCCAATGGTAAATCAAATATACTTCAAAATGGCCTAGTTTGCAATCAGAAACCTATTATAAAGCAAATCCAAACATCTTCAGTAACCACACCGAAATTCAAAATGAAAAAGAGAAAATAACGTAACCGAAGTTTCATTTCTTTAAACTCCAAATTAAACTGAAAGACAAATAATTATAGCAGCACACGACTTAATTCCAAAACAAATTAACCATCAGCACACTATCGTTAGGAGACCCACTCAAAGTGCTCTTGATTTCGGTTTAATTTCTTCAAATAATAGCGAAGCAACAAATTCCAACTTCAAGTTCGTTTTATTTCACTCAATTTTCTTCCCTACCAAACACGATTAGGGTTTCCAAAATCCAACATAAATAACGAACAGATCAAAAATTAACCCGTCCACACAACAAACGCAAACCTATACATACACGTGTACATTACCAAACATATGAATACCTAAACGTACACGCCCAGAGAGAGGCGGTACCTTAACGAAGAGAGAGAGAGCAGAGGATTGTTCTCTCTTTCTCTCTCTAAAAAGCGCTAGACATACGGATCCGGGAGCCCCAAGAAGACGAGAAATAGAGAGAGAAGTATTAGATATTTTTTCTTGAGAAATAAAATTCAAGATTTTGATATTTCAGAAATAGATAGGGTTTTTGCCAAGCAGGTCAAGGTGGGGGTAGAATTAAATTTTCAGATTTTTGACCGCTCTCCGCATCACGCACCTGTCACCTATCTTTCTGTCACCGCCAATAATAAAGCAAATACATTTTAGAATGAGTTGCGTGGCAAAATCTTACTGGTTTGTCATTTAAATTTTATGCTACAACACTAGTCGTGCATGCACATTTCAATCAATTAATTTTGGTAAGTGTATCCGGGAAAATGAACAGCATCAGATCCCATGGAAGGTCGCATATTTAGCTCTTAGTAAGTAAGCCACGTATAGCGAGGTATTTAAACCAATTAGATTATGACATGTCAGCATCTAAAAATATCTGTCTCCTCTTTACTCAAATGAATTGAAAATATAACGCATCATGCAAAATGTTACAAGACAACACCTCTTTAATTCATCCGCTACATATGAAATGAATATTACCATTAAAGTTAAAATACATTATTAAACTCGTTATTATTTTAAAATATTTAAATATCAATCCGGAAATTTTTTAAATTGATAATATATTTTCTAAAATTCTACGATGTTATGGAGTATTTGTATAATCTTATGTGGCTGTTGATGTGGTTATGTAAATTTTTTTAATAGACATTAATACAATATTATGTAACTATTACGAGATATATAATATATAAAATATAATTTTTTTATAAATAATATTTAAATTATATAAAGTAATATATATATATAATATCAATATTTATATTTTATAAATAAAAATAAAAATTATTTAATCATATTAATAACATTGTAATATTAATATAAATAATATTTAATTTTACTTATTAATATAGATTAATTTCAATAGATTTGAAAACGAAAATCAATTATTATTATTTAATGATCATATTCTTTAATAATATTTAAAATAATTTATTTAATTAATAATATATTAATTCAAATTATATATTTATTAATTTTTATAAAAAATTAATTTTATAGTAATTAATATATATCGTATATCATATTTTAATCTATTTACATTATAATTGATACTATTTTAATTTATAATAATTAATACTCAATAAACATAATTTTTTTAAAATTTTTTTATATAATATATTTCTGAAATAAAAGAATAGAAAAATAAATATATTTATTTTATATTTATTTTAAATTTCAACCAACCAAACACAATTTTAGTTTTTGTCAAAATTTTCAAACATGTTTATTAGCAGCATGTAATAAGTTTTCCCGGCTCCAGCGTCCCTCCGCCCCGCCCCGTCCCGTCCCGTCGATCCCTCCCTCGTCTCTACTCTCAGTCTTATTTCTCCCACAACCTCCAACTGGTATACTCTCCGTCAGGAGAAAAGTGCCGCCGCCACCGGCGAGCAGCAACAGCTCGTTATCTTCCATCTCTTTCGCGCCTGTCGTCTGATTTGCTTCTCCTCTCGGTTTTCAACAAAGCAGACGGCAACCAAGCAGCCACTGAGGCTGAACTCGATCAGGGCTCGGAAGCAGCCTTTCTCCGTTTATTTTTTGCGGGCTTCCTCCGTGTATTTCTTTCACGGTCACAGTCCAGTCGGCTTTCACGAGTCATACATAGTTAGGTTTTTGTTCTAAAAGTTCAGCCGTAGGCTTTGAGCAATAGAACTTTGTTTTTATCAGTCAATGATAATCAGGACGATTTTAAAATTTATTTTTTGAATTGTTTGCTGAAATTAGAGCATATTGAGAAAACTGAATTTTGTTTTCTAATGTTACGGTCGTCGCCACCCGAAACTTAGAAGAAGAAGGAGATACAAATTTGAACCAGCCACGAACTATTTGCACCGAAAATTCATTGAGAATCGTGGCTCCTACTAGTAACCGGAGCAATCGCTGTTCGTAAAAGCCTCTGCGCTGCGGCTGTATATTCGGGATGACGATTCAACGGCTAGTGCCTCAAAAGCAAACTCTCAGAATCTTCACCGCGCGCATAACGCCGATTTCTCTCGTTCCTCTCGCACTTACCCCTAACCATTTCCTCACTGCTGTGAAAACTATAGCAACTTCTTCATATCAGATCGAGGAAGAGGTGCTATCGCCAACTCCAGCATCGGATACTTTCTTCGTAGAGAAGATTGTATTGAGTTTAAAGCAAGGTAAACCGACTTCTTTGCAAAAATATCAGTTTCTCTTAAACTCAACGACTGTAGTTGAGGTTCTTTATCGATGTCGTGATAATTTGCATTTGGGCCAGAGATTTATTGACTATATTATGTTAAATTGTTCAAATTTTAAGCATTCATTGATGTCTTTGAGTGCAATGATTCACATTTTGGTGAGGAGTAGGAGATTATCTGATGCACAAGCTTTGATGCTTAGGATGATCAGGAAGAGAGGCGTCTCACGGGCCGGGATTGTTGAATCCTTGCTTTTGACTTATACTAGTTGTAATTCGAATATTTTGGTTTTTGATTTGTTGGTTAGGACGTATGTGCAAGCTAGGAAGTTAAGAGAAGGATGTGAGGTGTTTCAGGTGTTAAGAAGTAAAGGATGTTGTCTTTCAATCAATTCTTGCAACAGTCTTCTTGGTGGGTTGGTGAAGATTGGATGGGTGGATTTGGCCTGGAAAGTCTATGAGGAGGTTGTAAAAAGTGGGATTGAGGTGAATGTTTATACTCTAAATATTATGGTTAATGCATTGTGTAAAGATGGCAAAGTTGGTGTTGTTAGCTTGTTTTTATCAGAGATGAAAGACAAGGGTGTTTATGCAGATATGGTAACATATAATACCTTAATAAATGCATATTGTCGTGAAGGGTTAATGCAAAAAGCTTTTGAGGTAATGAATTCAATGTCAGGTAAGGGGTTGAAACCGGGAATCTTTACTTATAACGCGATTATAAATGGCTTGTGTAAGAAGGGAGAATACGAGACGGCTAAGAAAGTTTTGGAGGAGATGTTGAGGATTGGGTTGATTCCTGATACTACTACTTATAACACGCTGCTTGTTGAGGTTTGCAGAAATGATAACTTTTTGGAGGCCAAGCGGATTTTCAATGAGATGTCATGTCATAGAGTCCTTCCTGATTTAATTAGCTTTAGTGCAATAATAGGGGCATTCTCCAGGAATGGGCTTCTGGATCAGGCATTAGAATATTTTAGAAGTATGAAGAATATTGGCTTGTATCCAGACACTGTTGTTTATACTATTCTCATTGATGGATATTGCAGACATCGCATGATGTTGGAGGCGTTGAAGATCCGAGATGAAATGCTAGAGCAGGGTCTTGTTATGGATGTGGTTACATACAATGCTATTTTGAATGGGTTATGTAAACAGAAGATGTTCCATGAGGTGGATAATCTATTCAAGGAGATGGTTGAAAGGGGCGTGTTGCCTGATTTTTACACTTTCACAACAATCATTAACGCCCATTGTAAGGATGGGAAGATCAACAAAGCACTAAACTTACTTGAGACAATGACTCAAAGGGGTATTAAGCCGGATGTTGTGACATACAACACATTAATTGATGGGTTTTGCAAAGTACATGAAATGGAGAAAGCTAATGAGTTATGGAACGGTATGATATCTAGAATGATTTTTCCAAATCACATTTCATATGGCATTCTAATAAATGGATGTTGCAGTATGGGACATGTTTCTGAGGGATTGAGGTTGTGGGATGAGATGGTAGAAAAAAATATTAAGCCCAATCTTGTAACTTGTAATACCATTATAAAGGGTTATTGTCGGTCAGGTGATGCATCAAAGGCAGATGATTTTTTTAGCAAGATGACTTCAAAAGGAATTGTTCCCGATAGCTTCACTTATAATACTCTCATTAATGGTTTTGTTAGAGAAGAAAATATGGATAAAGCTTTTGTTTTAGTTAACAAGATGGAGAATCAGGGGCTCTTGGCTGACATTATTACATACAATGTAATTGTTGATGGGTTCTGTAAACAAGGTAGAATGCATGAAGCTGAGTTAATGTTAAGGAAGATGATTGAGAAAGGTGTACATCCTGATAGGGCTACATACACATCATTGATAAATGGACATGTCACTTTGGACAACTTAAAGGAGGCATTTCGTTTCCATGATGAAATGCTACAGATGGGGTTTATTCCAGATGATAAATTCTGATGTCTTGTTTTCTTGGCAAATTGGATTCCTTTTGCTGCATATCCTCACTATATGTTTAAGGTTGTATATTGACTCTGCAAATTCTTAATTTTAACTTTATGATTTCATATTCGATAAGCTGTGTAATTAAACTATTTTGATATTGGGAGCATATTTCCTCCTAGAAGCACATGGAGATGAGTAAAGCAGAGATATTATCTATTATTTTAAGGCCTGATGAATGATGATGAGGCGAGAAGCATCCGGGGATAATGAAGCAGAGACTTAAATTTTTTATATTGGGGCCTGAAAATGAAGGTGAATTTGTTCGTATGCTAAATAAGTTCTTATGATTTTTTTGATACTCCTCTTTGAACTAGTGAAGTATGAAACTTGTTATTTTGCATTCAGGTATTTTCCTATCTGGTATGGTGAACCATTGAGGTTCTTACTCATGCTCAGTTCAAGCAGAAATTAAAGATTACAGGAGAACCCATAGGTAAGATTTTGATGCACGATGCCAGTTCTTCTACTGATATGGGGTTTTTATATTTAAAAGATCTACTCCCATTTTATTCATTTTGATCCATAATGCAGTTAATGCCATGGTTTTAAATTGATAAATTTATAGGCTCCTCCTATAGATTAATTGTTTGAATTTAATTGCAAGTATTTGGCAATTGGCAGTATGGCTTCTTCTGCTAAATGCTGCTTGGTGGATCTTGACAGATCTTTTTTCTCTCTTTTTATGTGTCCATATTATATACTTAATTTTCATTCTTGTTCAGGAGCTTTGTTTTAGCCTTGTAAAATGTTCATAAAAAATACTCAGTTAGTTTCACCTGTTTCTCGTTGTCCTGCTTCACTGAGTACATGATTATAATTCTGGGGAAGTAAAAGTTCTGGTGTGGATTTGATTGGACTGATAATTTTTTTGTTAGAAAATATGACTATTATTACTTTAGTAGGAAGCTCATTGTTCCCATTCTGCTGTCTATCTTTCCTTTTGTTGTTTGTTTAAGACTCTGCTCTTTCTTTTGGGAGGATGATTTTACGGCAGTCGCCAGACATTTGATTAACTTGTAACTCCTTTTGTGCGCAAGTACCTCCTCCTTGCAACCTTCCATGTAACATACAAATGTTTCTTCTACGTCTTTCTGTATGTGTTCTGATTCTGGTTATTAGGGATACCCAGAGTTTTATGAGACATTATAAAACTTCTTCGTGCAGAAGCAGTTGATAATACTTTATTTTAATTCAAATTATCTATTTTTCAGATGTATATTAATTGAGGAAGGATACTTTTCTTGTATGTAATTTGTAAGCTTCTCTTAGTAAGCTGAATCATTGGTTCTCTTCTTTCATACTGAAATTTGAGAAGAAGAATTCTCTCTCTCCCTCTCTTCTCTCTCTCATATGTATATAGTCTGTGTGCCTAATTATGATGGAAAATGAGGTTAGACCTGATTCACGAATTTCAAGAATTGTGGCCGTGGGTAAATTCTTGGCCACCCTTTGCATTTTCCCGTTCTATATATTTGAGTTTTGTTATGTGCCTGATGGTGAAAATGGAAATGATGATGAACCTGATGCATATTTGTGGGAGTTAGGATCCAGGCTGAGTTCATGGCTTCTTTTCGTCAGATGAATATCATATCTGGTAACCTTTTCATGCTTTGAGAAATATGTTAAACAT